GAAGAGGAATTTTCCTGTGGCCACCAGTGCTCTGAAAGAGGAGCATCATGGAGCTGCTTCTTTACCTCCTGTACTAATGTTTCAGTCCTGGATTTGGGTACTTCTTCAAGTGGCACCTGCTGGTGCTCACATTTAAAACAGGTTGTTTTATTTCTAACAAAACGGCTGCATTCTAAAAATGCTGACAAACACCCTCCTTTCTTCAGCCAGTGATGGGCACCTGCCAGAAAGGCACACTAAACTAAACGCTACTGCAGTGAGCCTGGCAACCAAGGACAGCAGAACGAGGGAAAATGCAGAGCCTCGGGTGGGATTTTGGGAGGGGGAACTGCAGGACTCCTATTGCAGTGCAGAGCTTTGGTTGGATGCTTTTCTCTAACTCAGGCATCAGAGGCAAAAATAAACCAGGCCTAATGTCAGTGATACTTTATGTTTCAATGTAGGGCCTCTTGCAGCAGCCACCTCTGTATTAATTTAATACCATACTCTATTGCCTGCTTTCAAGAAGATGCTGATTATTGCAGACCTAATCTAGCAAAGTATTTCAAGTGTATGTTTAACTTGATTTACTTGAGAAGATCCACTGACTTGAAAAGTAATGCTAAAGATATGCCTAAGTTAACTGGTACTCTAATTTGTATATCCCTTATACATTTCAGAGGTAAGGGATAGCTATTGGCTTGCTATGCTTACCTGAGCATAAGTTAAAGACCTTGTTCTAGGGCTTGAATCAGTTTAGTCAGTGCCTCAGTTTTGGACCTGGAAGATGAGCAGGCTTCAAGTCACGGATTATGCTTCCCTCTCTGTGCCTAGCCAAAGTATGTGGAAAAAAAAGGAGCTCTTGGTCCTTCTAGCTGGGAAGTGAGCCACCTTTACTGCTCATGAAACGTGCCACGTACGTGCCACGGGACAAGCAGCAGATGGGAACCTTCAAGCAAGTTATTGTTTTTAATTGCTATGTCTTTTCAGCATCATTAGGGTCATTAGTGAAATCAGGTCTCCTGGAAGACACCAGCGACCCAACCCCTTTCAGGAAACAGAATGTATAAACTATCTGTAGCAAATCCTGTTCGGAAGCCAGGTACATGTTTATAGGACAATTAAATGTCTGTATGAAAGATAGGAGATCACTGCATCAAGGTACATTTGCATGTATCATAGTGGTGTGACAGGATGACCTTAACAGACACCTCTCAGATACTTAGAGGGTGTTTCCTCTTTGTAGCTTGTATTAAATAATTGTGGAAGACCGTCTCTTCCAGAAATGGATCTGTCTGCCGTATCACTCTTTAGGAAAGTGGGGTAGCTTACATTGCTCCTTAGAAGTAACCCAGTCCCCATACGTGTTGTGCACCCGTATGTATAATCCAGCATTATTTGTGTATATATGCTTGAGTATACATACACTCTGCTGCAAGGGCAATGTCAAAATTCTGCTCTATAGCTAAGTTACATCATTCTAAAAAAAATAAGATTCACTGTTCTGAAAAGTAGAGGGAGGGGATCCTGCCCCTCTCCTCAGCTCTGATGAGGCCACGCCTGGAGTATTGTGTGCAGTTCTGGGCTCCCCAGGACAAGAGGGACATGGAGCTTCTAGAGAGGGAGAAGTAGAGAGCTATGAAGATGATTAAGGGACTAGAGTATCTATTGTATGAGGAAAGACTGAGTGAGCTGGGCCTGTTCAGCCTGGAGAAAAGCAGACTGAGAGAAGATCTGATCTACAAGTACCTGAGGGGTGATTGTAGGGAGGACGGGGCCAAACTCTTCTCCATGGTGGCCAGTGACAGGACAACGGCTAACAGTACAAGCTGAAACACAGGCAGTTCCATCTCCATGTGAGGAAGAACTTCTTTCCTGTGAGGGTGACAGAGGCCTGGAACAGGCTGCCCAGAGAGGTTGTGAAGTTTCCTCTGGAGATCTTCCAAACTTGCCTGGATGGACCTTATGCCATGTGCACTAGGTGTCCGTGCTTGAGCAAGGGGGTTGGACTAGATGATTGCGGGAGGTCCCTTCCAACCTCAACCATTCTGTGATTCTGTGACTGTCATCAGGAGTAAAATCTAGGGGCCGTGATATATGGATACAAGGAAACAACAGCTCAGTGTTCAGGAATGATGTCTGGGAGACACAAAACAGAATTTTGTGCTGACATTGTAAACCCATGTTTCCCCAACTCCTACATATTGGGCTAAAAGATCACCTAACTCCACAGACAGACCACATGAGACCATACAGAAGTGAACTGAGAGTGGTTCAGAAAATTCCTAGATACAAATGATGGAAGACAAGCAAAAAAGCATACATCCTGAAGCACTCACACATGGCTATTACCAATTAAGAACATTGGATAAGTTGTCCAGTTATGCTCCTATATTGTTTTTTGACGAGTCTCTTTAGCCTTCCAAATACTCTATTAGGAAGGTTAAGGCTCTTGACCAAGGGCTAAGAATACTACATGACCTTAAACTTTTGGATCCAATAGCATATTTTTTAAATCTGAATAAGGCAATGAATATTTAATGGTACTTAATATCCCTCAACTCCTGCTGATATCTCTGTGTTGACACTTTTATTCTATGCTGGTCAGAGAAGGTAGGAACCTGACCACCAAGGGAAATGCTCTGGCACCATTTATTATGTCTATCAGTTTTTGAAAACCTGGAAAATCCATGGATTTCAGCAGAAAGTTTACATCATGTGTAGAAGCACCTAAACTGCAACTCTATTATAAACTTAACCCTGTAAGTTAAAGATTTACAAAACAGCACTACTCTGGGAAGGGTGGAAATGGCTGCCTTGCTTGAAGCGTAACATCCCAGCAATGGCATGAATATCTACAACTATCTGTAGCAATTCTGTATGTGGCTTTAGAAGACCTTTTTAACTCTCTAAATGGCATATTGTGCCTGACTAGCAGTTCTGATGATTGTAGAGAACATGTGGTGGAAGTATTTGTGTGTATTCTGTTGGTTAATAAAGTATATAAATGAAAACAGAAAAACAGTTTGTGACCATGCTTTGCCATGCTCAATCTATCATGCTAGAAGTAGTTACAAGGGAAAACAAACCATCAGAATTTCAGATATTTTTTTTTTTGTGTGTTGTACACTTTTAAGATACCATAACAAGAAGACTGCAATTTTTTAAAAACGACATGCAGATGTTGTCCAGACTAATCTATAGGCAAGATTTAGAAAGAGAAAATAATTGTTGCCAGTTTTCAAGCAATTAGCTAAATGGGTGCTCTGAGTCCTCTGCATTTGAGAAAATCAGATGACACAGAGGCCTATTTTAAACAATTTTGAAAATTAGGAGTACTAGACTCATTTTCAATTGCAATTTGGTATTCATTTAAATTTTTAAGTAATCCTTTTTTTCAGAGAAAAAGCCGATGATGCATCTTTACTAGTTCTCCTGAAGCAGTAGCCTTTACTCTGTATTTTTGGTAAACAATCATAAAGCAATTAACATATACTGACAATTCCAGTTATAAAAATATCATTTGCCTCTGCATCTCAGCATTATCTCCTAGGAAAGGAAATCAACTCTGATGAACAGAAATGGTATCCTATATTATATACTACTGCCCTGAGGACTCTCTTCTTTTGTCTAATGCAGACATATATATAAATTAGGAAAAAAAATAATTTAATCTGGGGTAGAACTTTAGCAAACAAAATCAGTAGGAATTGTGAAACGATATGCTGGTGATGAAATGCTGGTCAACTGGGAAGTGATGCTGATTTCAGATAAGTTAAAGCAATCTTCCCTTTTCAGTTAGCAAAGGCATTGGGTGTAAGTTACAAGAGCTCTCGCTCCTTCCTAAATTATAAAACAATGCTGTGGTCATTGGTGACCAGTCTGAGGACTCGTTTAACCTAAAATGCTCTTGGATCTCACAGTGATAAATAAGAGTAGAGAACTATCCGACAGCTGGAGAGATGGACAAGCAAGTCCTGCTGGGTGTCCAGTGCACGCTTGGACCTCTCTGATAGTCGCCTCCTCTGGTGATAGTTGCACCTTGCAGCTTAGAGATTTCTTGACTTTGGAGTGGTCTTCCTTCCCTTCAATTTTTCTTCTTGGAAGGGGAAATTTGGCAACAGAAATGTCCTGTGGATGTTATAAACAGGAAATTTTAAACTGACCAGCATGTAAAAGACAAACAGTTGTAACAAATGCCAAATTTGCCGCTATGGTATATGATGGGATGGCCTTTACAGACCTAAGGATTGGAGATCAAACAGATGCAGCTCTTGGGGCTGTTGTTTTTAATATTTTTTATCCTTTAAGACACACTAAGAGCCCAGATATTAGGAAACTATAAACTTAGTGCTTGGTGAAAAAACACAGTATCTGTTTTTCTATGCAAGAGCAGGCAAGAGAGCCCCACGTAACAACCACAAAATGTCAATTTCTTGATTCATTCACGAGCTCCTTGACAAGAGTACCATATCCTAGAAGCTTGGAGTGAAGTGCGAGCACCGTTGAGTGCTCTGTGAAAAGTGATTGCGCAGATGCACAAGGTCTTCAGGGGGCTCCTTTCAGCTGGTGGCCAAGGTCCACGTACTAGCAATACACACATAGCTCTTGCTTCTTCTCTTCCCACACCCTCGTTTTCACTTGGCCGCCCCTTGAGGGCAGGCTGTGTGTGGTGTCTAGCTGTCATGGAGGCATGGGGCGAGCAGCAGGTAGTTTTCACGTGGGCAGTGCAGGGAGCACCGTGCGAGCTGCAGGCGGGCAGTGAGCCTGGCGCTCTCCTCAGGGACACAGCAGCCTTGAGCTCCGCCTCCTTTGGCCACAGGTGGAGGCGGAGAGGAGCAAAGAGAGTTCAAGGTAACTTTACAGAGCAGGATCACATTACTGTTTGGCTGAGGGTGGATATAAAAAGCGCGTGGTGCCTCCTCATCTGCCAGAATCACTCTCCTCTGTGAGTGGAGCACAGTTCCGCGTCTGCACTTCCCTGTCACTGTTGGGGCATCCCACAGGAAGCCTTTGGCCTCATGGCTAGTCAGGTGGCCAGGAAATCTGGGAAAGGTCCTTGTGACGCACACCATTCTAAGGGCATCCTGCACGAGATCCTCTGCAAAGAGCATCCACGTGAGATGGATGTACAGCGTTACCCACCAAACTGCTCCGTAGGAAGCGGTGGCTGCTCTTGTGTGGATGGCCGAAGAGTTGTCCTGAAAACACCAGAAGTCACCTGCAAAAGAGCTTCTGAAGTGCTCTTGAAGACCTCAACTTTTATCAGAAACTTGCCTTCCTTCTATCACATGCCCTGGGAGGATCAGGCTGCCCTCATACAGCAGAACTGGGCCCCTCTTTTTGTCCTGGGCCTGGCACAAGAAGGGGTGGATTTTGAGCTGAGAGAGATTTCAGCCCCTAGTTTGTTGAAAAAAATTCTCCTCAATCAATCTCCCACAGCCTGTGATGAACCAGGTGGCTCCTCACTTGGAGCACCTTTAGCAGCAGTTCAGAAGATGAAGAACTTATTGTGGAAATTATGGGACCTGGACCTAAGTGCCAAAGAATATGCCTACCTTAAAGGAATTATTCTTTTTAATTCTGGTAAGTTTTCCTGGAAAGACCACAGCTGGATATGTGTCTGAAAGGACATCTGGCTTCTTGCATATAGACAATTGTTCATTTTTACTCATTTATAGAAGTGTCGCTAGATATTTTCAAAATTTATATTCCATAACTTAATCACTGTCTCCATGAAGTAGTATATTTAGGTCGCTTAAATGTGTATAGGAGGTTGCCCACTGTAAGCAAGGACAGATTCTGCTAGGTGGATTCTAAGTCATATGGAATTAACAGTGTCACTTCAAGCTGGTTTTCAATTGAAAGGTAATTCAGCTGCCTCATCTGTAACACAGCAAAGGCAAGATGGTGATGTGAATATCAGAACTATTTTAACAAGGCATCCTCTATAGAGAGAGCACTGGAGAAGGTAACACAATCCATATCATCTGAATATCATTAATGATGCAGAATTATGCCGCGCTGAGGTTTCTTTTCTTTTATTGCTCCTTTGATGTATCCTTTTGGTATCTTTATATTCAAAGCCTGGAAAAGCAGTCATGAAATGGACTCAGACAAGTGATTACATCCTTTCACTTCTGGTGCCAAGTTTAGCATTTTAGGAAGGAAGGTTACCTAGGTCAGCACCACAGAGTGAATGAGTCATTAAAAGCCAAGCTCTAAGTCCACTAAAGTAAATGGAAAGACTTAGTGACTCCAGTCCTCTCTGGCTCAGATCCCTGACTCCTTCCACTGCAATCATTGAAGTTGGCTGCACTGTCAGCAGCGTGCTACAGTTGGGACTACACCAAAAGGATATTTGAAAGCTTCAGATATTTCATGATAGTTCTTGTGGTGAATACTTTACAGGCTTCTCAAAGGCTGTAGTGGCTTTATATTTGCTTCCAATTTGGTTCTTAAGACGCAAGGTCATCCAGACAATTAGTATTGTCTTGTGTGTCTATGGTATAGCATCGAACCAGTGGTATTTGTTCCAGTGTAATTTCTTTTCTCAGTTTTTCACAATAAAATCTGGCTAAAAGAAATCATCAGTTTTATCCAAATGCAATGAGAAGATAAATCCATCATTTGCAGTGGCTCCTACAGTTTTACTAGCAAGCTATTTTCTCATCTCTGTAGATAAAATGTGATTTTCACTTTATGAAGGAGGAAGCAGGAGCAGTGTTATGTTCTAGATTCATGATTCTTAACTAACTACTTCATGCTGTCAGTTCAACAGCCAAGGCCTTCAAGAAGCCTCCCTGTCTCTCTGGTATCTCTCCAAGTACCTTTCTCCACAGTTTCCAAAAGGAGGCTGGAGGACTTCAGTTAAGCCTGGCTTGATTCTACACGAAACAAAAAGCCACACATGAAACGAAAAGCCACAGTCTAAACTCTGGACTGAAACAGGTACTCAGGGTACAAAAACCAAACCTCTTCTATATCAATTTTGCTGCAAATTAATTCATAGAACCATCATTTTAGAGATTATTTTTTATGGTTTTTAAACACTTTCCACCAAGCTCAGAAAACGTTTTCTACATCTGTGCAGACACATTTTCAGCTGGCCTCTTAATTCTGTCTTGACGTTTGGCCAAATTTTAATATTTTGCAGGCCTTGGTCTCAACAGACTTCAGGCAATCTCTGGCAGTGACAATGTTTAATCTTTCTCTGGATTATGGAATAGCTTGTATGAGCTCATATCTAAATGTTTTAAATCCCAACAGGACCACCAAAACTGGGTGAGGGAAAGGAGAAGGCCTGGTGCAGAGCAGACCTGGGTTATGAGCGAAAGTTCAACAAGGCATCCAGAAATGCAGAAGCACAGCGAGGCAAATGGTTGGGCCTGGAGCATGATAAGCAAGCATAGCAGGACTTTCTTCGTGCCCTAAGGAAACTCTTAGGACTTTCCTCTGGAGGCAGTGTGGCAGGTAGGCAGGCAGCACAGGGTACGGATCGATCCCAGTCCATCAGGGCCAGGAAGTATCTGCGAATGAGGAAGTGTGCCCGGCCCTTCAGAGGCAGACTTGCCTCGAGTTCAACATCTGCAACAAATTCCAGGACCCAGAGCCATGCCTGCGCTTCCCAGGGTGCCTTAGCTAGGAGCGCCTTTGGGAGGTTAAGGTACGCGTGGGGAAGGAGTCCAGCTGCAAGGCTTTCTCTGGGATTCAAGCAACACGCGAAAGGAAGGGGTAGGTAGGGCTGTGCCACCATGCATGAACAGCACCAAGAATGAGGTGAAATGGCTCCTGTTGATTTTAGCAGGGCTCTGCAAAACTACTGCCATTATACAGTGAAGAGACGGGAGCAGTGAAAATAGCGGTTGTTATTACATCAGTGCCATCTAGAACCCCTTCAGGGCTGAGACTGGGTTTCTGTTACAAGAAATGCTCTTCAGGAGTTTCCAGCTTAGCAGAGAACATTTATACTTGACTATTAGTGCAAAAGATCACAGCGCAAGAGCTTGCCTATTACTTGCAAATAAAAGCACAGTTGATTATATAAATGGGGACCAAATGGGAAGTTTAAGCAAACTTGAGGGGCTACAACCAATTTCAATTTCATTTTAAACACACAAAATTTGACAGCTTTATTTGTGGGATAATTCTAACACTTGGAACCATTGTTACGGCTTGCAGCTAATGGTATTCTTTGGGGACAAGATGACTTTTTCAGCCCTTCTTTTCTGCCTAGCCTGGCTGCAGGTTTTGCTGAGGCTTTTTCTCCTTTGACTGTGTTGCCTAGAAAGAACAGAGTTGCTGAAAACTGGTGAAGTGCAACCAGCCACAGACTGAAGAAAAAAAAAAAAAAAAAAAAAACAACCACATCTGTTTTGCCCTAGTGCAGGACACTACGCAACATGGAAGACTCTCCCATACTATGTGAATGATCCTATGTGAAAGACTGCTCAGATCATTCAGGCCCCAGCCAGAAGCCAGGAGGTGGTAGCAGGAGGGGCAGAAGCCAAAACTGAGGGATCCATGCCACATCATTACAGCCTGCAGCAAGTGCAGGAATGGAAAGCTGGAGTGGCACAGCAGTGCCCTCACTCACGTGGGTATGCACAGGAGGCAACGGGCTGCAAAGAGCTACGTGACAGGGGGATCCCACCAGCAGCAAAGATAAACACAAGGTGTCCCTTGAATCGTACTATCATAGATTCATTAAGGTTGGTAGGGACCTCTAGAGGTCATCTAGTCCAACCCTCCTGCGCACGCAGTATCACCTAGAGCACGTGGCACAGAGTGGCATCCAGGTGGGTTTGGAAGATCTCCAGAGAAGGAGACTCCACAACCTCTCTGGGCAGCCTGTTCCAGTGCTCTGTCACCCTCACTGTTAAGAAATTTTTCCTTAAGTTTCTGTGGAACTTGATGCTTCAGTTTGTGGCTATTACCTCTAGTTCTGTCGGTGGCCACCACTGAAAAGAGGCTGGCGACATCCTTTTCACTCCCTCCCTTGAGGTATTTGTATATACTGATTAGGTTCCCTCTCAGCCTTCTCTTCTCCAGGCTGACAGGCCCAGCTTTCTCAGGCTTTCCTCATAGAACTCAGTCCTGGAATCCACCAACAGTCTTGATGGATCCCCAGTATAGGAGTGGGGATCAAGACCATGCCTCTAGAAGCCATGATTCCATATAAGCAATCATAGGTCACTTCGATTCAGCGGATCCTCACTCAGTAAATGTTTAAAGTTAAGCCCAAGCATCAGCACAATGCATAGATTGGGCTAAGGAGCAGAATGTGGGTCCTGAGTTTGTCAGAACAAACCAATGATGTCCTATGCAAGGTACAATAACTTAATTTGTTAAACATAGAATAATCTACAGAAATGGTTCAAATAGTTGTTTTGCATTTTGTTTTATAACAACAATTTTCTCATAACGTTTTTCCTTGTTAAAGGTAAATGGACGTGTAGGTGTAACAGCATTAGTAGTTTCAGCAAAGGCCAACTGTCAGCCTCGTATTTGAACAGGTTAATTAGTACTTTAAATTGCTAGTTTTAGTGATAGTACCAAATGTTTCTCTCTTTACTTGCTGTTTTTACACTGAAGCTGCTTTTGATGTAGCTAGCGAAACAACTGGGTGTGACTGAATACAACTTTCCTGGAAAGAAAACATGTTTAAGACTGCTCAGTTAGGAACCAATAGAGTAATTGGAGGCTTAGGGGTGCATGAATACGCTAAGCAGAAGCATGGCTCAGGTATTTTTTCTTTCTCTGGTCCCTTCAGAACACATACAGAGGGAGAGCTGAATAAAAAGGCACTAATAAACTTGTGTGTCTGGCTGTGTGTGTATTCCTCTAATTCTAGCAGTCAGAATGGAGCTGTGATGCTGCCTTCCAGCAGCTTCCTTGCAAGCACAGGGACACGGATGGTTGGGGTGGAGGTGGGCCAGAGGCTGCTGCAGACAGACAGATAATCCCACGGGGACTGCAGGGATCTCTGCTACAGACCTCTCCCTCTTCACGAAAGGCTGAGGAAGGAGAGGACAAAACCTGAGGGTGTAACCACCTTTCTGACCTGAATCCGTATCAGACCGTGTTCAGGCTTAGTTGAGACTGCAGGTGGAGGCTCCCAGGGAGCACACGGAGTCACCACAAAGCCTCCGCTCAGCCTAGGAAGCACGGACAACAGCAGGAGGATTCAGGGCAAAGGGCTGGACTCCAACATGCTTACAGTGTTGCTCAGTGTTTATTCTAATTATTGAACTAACCATATCTTCTTTTTCCAGAAAGTACATTAAGCAAGCTTTTGTTGTTTTCTAGGGGAAAGAAGAACTTACCGTAAGCTAGACAGCCAGACATCCATCATCACAAAGGGCACAGAACAAACATGTTTACTCAAAATTCCTTATTTTACTTTGTGTTTTGACAGGACGGCATGTCCTAAAATGTCTTCCCTACGTACAAACGCTGCAGCAGGAAGCTCAGGAAGCTTTGCTGGAGTTTATCTCGATGATGTTCAACAGCCGCCTGGACAGGTTTGCGTGGATTCTTCAGCTACTCACCTCTCTCCGCGACATTGATGCAGATGTTATTGAAGAGCTCTTCTTCAGGTCCATCTTGGGAGAGGTCACCATAAATGAATTACTTTTAGAAGTTCTATATATCAGCATCACCTGCAGTCATGCTAAATTCAACCATATTATTTCTACTGAGCATTTTTATAACTGCTTAGAACTATCATATGTGTTTGGGGCTTAACAAAGTTTTTGTTTTCAGGAAAAGGGGCAGTGGTAAATTTTATTCAGTTCACTGGCAACTGAAGCTGAACAGTTATATAAAAGGATAAATTCTTCCTCTTCTTGGGATTCCATTCCCTAATCCTTCCCCCCTTTTTCCTTTCACGGAAAACTCCAGCCCTTGGCTGTGACTGCTGGAGCTCTCCCATCCTGCCTCCTCTCCTGTCAGGTTCCCTTTCTACACCTGGCACTAAACTTTGGGCACTCCCTCTATTCAAGAAGTCATTGCCCGACCAAGAACCAAACAATACAAACATAAACATTTGTTGGACAGACAACAGACATTGTTTGTGACTCTTTCCAGGGTGGGACTAACGAAGACTGAAAGCTCCTGTGTCATGCCATGAGCAGCAGAACTGAAGCAGAACAGCTTCCTATAGACCTTTGCCCCTTAGCCTGCCCTGTACCCTTCTGTAATCGCCCTAGCTTCCACGTGTGTGCTGCCTGCTCATCCATCAGAACAAAAACAACGCTACAGCTGACACTTCAGCTGCGGTAAAGGCAGAAATTTGTATCTCTTTCCTCACCCATTCAAAGGTTTTCATGAAACCCGTAGGAATTTAATCATCTCTGAGTTTTCCAGCAGAGGGTCAAATCTAATTTTGTTTGGCAAGGGCTAATGGTTTGGCTCAAACTCACCAAATGGGGACTGACAAACAGGTAGGCAGACAGGAGAACAGAGATTATGATAATTTAATCATTTTCCTTAAAAAGCCAGGCTAAAGTCATAACAAAATCTCATATATTTATATGCACGTATCAACACATATATACATAGAGAGGTGGATGTTCAAAGGATTTGCAAAAAATGACAGTCAAAAAGTTCATATAAAGTTCATATAAATAAACAGAAGTTCATATAAATAAATAAATGTTATATATTAAAAAAGTTATCTTGGAGATGACAGTATTGCTACCAGTTAGTGTGAGAGTAGTGGACACTTGCGAGTTTAGCCTCGCTGATGACATAGGCAGGGCTTTCACTCAGAGACTGCTCTGCTTTTGCAGGTGTTGACTTTTCCAAAACACTGTATAGCAATATTTTTAGAGCATTAGAAGAAACCTATGTTTTCAAAATCAAAGGTGAAAAAGTAAATTAAATTTCCTTGTGAAACCTTACTCCAGTCTTCTGAATGATATAATAAATTATTTTAATGACATGTTTACAAATTTCTGTTTTTTCCCTCAGGTCGCCCTGCCTTACTTAGGACAAAGACTGGCCAGTGCTGTGGGAGTTACGACTGTGCAAGGGAGGAGACATTTCCTAGGTCACAGTTACTTTCGCTGCAGAAACAACAATGCAGAGCCTGTCACTATGGGTCTGCAGTGACAGAAACAATGTTCTTGCAGTTAAATCTGATGAAATGACACCTCAGAGAGTGTCATTATTGCAATCACCTCAAAATGTTATGTCCCCCAGCATAGGGCTGCTACTAATAATGTTATCTCCCTTTTTTACAAAGACAGACAAATCCACTCTGCCCCAGGCTCAGTCAACAGCATTAACCGACGTGCTCTTAGACATGAAGCTAGTCAGAACAAAACCTGGGGAGAGCATTAGCAGCAAAACCAGTATTTTCAAATGCAGATCCCTTCATGTGAGTATGTTGTGGAGTCACAACATACTTCAAACTCGAGGGGCAAATTATAACGCACACACAGCCTGCACTGTACCTTGCTTTGCATTACACCTACAGTTCTCCAAAGGCCTTCAGGGAGCCCTGACAACTGCACTGACAAGTGGCCTGTTGCTCACAGCTTTGCCGGGCAACCCAAGGCCTGAACTGGGTTGAGGAAAGAACTCCTCTCTTCCAGATGTGGCTGCCCAGGACTGAGGAAACGCTCTGTAAGAGCTCTGTGCATCGCCACTACGTGTTTTCAGTCAATAATGGATTTCAGTCTCTTTATTGTCTCTCTTTCACTCATGTTAAAACTACATTGAGCTGAATTTCTTCTGGAGTTCCAAGAAGCCAACAACATAATAAAGTCTTTCTTGTGCTTTTTTCCCTCTTTTTCTTTCAAGTTTTAGCTTAACGAAACTGGTATGGCAAACTGCAGCTGTATCATATTATATGGAAATGTTACTTTTTTTTCTTTGGCAAAGTGTTTATAACATAAACACATGGAAAAACCTGCAGTGAGAGTATCCAGGCAAAGACATGTGACAATCTGGGGCACCATTCCCACGAAAAACACCAGAACGGAGTTCCAGCAAATAAGGAAAAACCTCTCAGGGCTGACTCCCACTGGGACTGAATTTTGCATCCCTGAGAAATGCTGAGCTTGAGCATCCTTAACTCCTACAGAGTCACTGGTAGTGGAATTGTTCTCTCAATTATTCTGTGAGGTGTCAAGCAGCTAAATCTTCCTCTGCAACTGCCATTACCTACAGAACCTGCTGGCTATATAAATTCCCTATATTTTCAGATATGCTCATTTGTCTGCCATCTTAGATACCTAAATCACACCACCTCCAACTTGCTGTGTATGTAAAAATCCCTTATTCCTAGATGGATTTAGGAAAAAAAAAAAAAAAGCCCTTCTAAACATCTTAGAATCAGAGCTTCTAAAAAAAATATGAAATTTCTTGTCCCTTATTAATGACCATCAGAAGCATCCTGGCCTAGGGACTACCCCCTGCAGTCAGCTTTAGTCCATCTAAATGCCTATAGCCCATTACTATGATCAGTAACAAAAACTGGAAGGGCAAAGTGTCTTTTCTG